CCAAGAGGCAGTCATCAGAACGGAGCAAGGAAACACTGCATGGTTCAAAATTGGGAAGGGTATACGCCAGGGATGTGTTCTATCTCCAAACCTTTTCAACCTGTATGTAAAACAGATTATCCGGGAGGCTGGGTTCTATGAGGAAAAATGTGGGGTCAGGATTGGTGGAAGAGTCAACAATCTGTGTTATGCAGATGACACAACCCTGCTTGCTGAAACTGAGGAGGACCTGAATCGGTTGCTGCAGAGGGTCAAGAATGCAGCCTTGAATATGGATTGAGGCTCAATGTCAAGAAGACAAAAATTCTCACTACTGGACCATTTGGCAGCATCAGGATGAATGGTGAAGAGATTGAGATTGTTTACAGTTTTAGTTTGCTTGGCTTTCATAGTCAACACTCTTGGCACCAGTAGCCAGGAAATTAAAAGGCATATTGCCATGGGAAAGTCTGCTGTTAGGGACCTCTCCAAAGTACTGAAGAGCAATGGTTTGTCTCTGGAGACTAAGGTGTGTCTGATACAGGCCATGGTCTTTGCAGTCACTTGCTATGCATCAGAGAGTTGGATAATGACTAGGGAGGATAGAAGGAGAATTGATGCCTTTGAGCTGTGGTTTGGGAGAAGAGTATTGAGGGTACCATGGACTGCTAGGAAAACAAATAAATTCATCCTGGAGAGGGCTAAATCAGACTCCTTTTGGAGACAAGGATTCTGAGGCTCTGTCTGACATACTTTGAAAATGTTGTGAGGGACAAGTCCTTGGAAAGGGACATCATGCTTGGGAGGGTGGAGGGACAGTGCAGGAGGGGACGGCCCTCTATGAGGTGGATTGATTCAGTGACTGGGGTAATCGGCATGGGTGTTTCAGAGACATTGCGATTGACATAGGACAGAGCAGACTTTAGGGCTGTTGTACATAAGGTCATTATGAGTCGCAAGTGACTCGACGGCACATAACAACAACAGTCACTGAGTCACAACCAACTCATAGCTGACCCTCTGGCAGGTTTTCAGAGATGGTTTAATCTCATAGCAGGAGATTGCCTATTCTTCTCCCGCAGAACAGCTGGTGAATTTGAAGTGTGTGTCTTTTGTATAGCAGCACAGTTCCTTACCACTAGGCTATAGTATTGCCAAATCTTTAGATATGTAAATTGCCACTATTTCTCCTTTAGAGTGACTGTGTATTAGTTAATAGTAGAGCACTTTGACTTACTGTGGTCTCCTACCTCACTCTCTGACAATGTTACCTCTGTAAGAACCTTGGAAAATGTTACAGATGTTTTTGTTAGGTGCTGTCAAGTCAGAACTGACTCATAGCTGAGCCTCCATAGGTTTTCAAAGGTTGTATTATCTCAAGGGCAAAGATTGTACGTCTTTCTCCTGTGGAGAAACTTGTGGATTCAAACAACCTGCCTTGCTGTTGGCATCTCAGCCCCTCACTGCTAGACTGTCAGAGCTCCCTTTTCCCAGATGAAGCTATTAAAATGTTGAGAATGACATTTGCCGTGGATTAGCAAATGGATACATGCTATGATGCCCAGATGGAAGCTTTGACTATGTAAATGCTACCTTTATATTAATCTGAAGCCCATTTTATGTTATCTGTGACTTCTGTAAGTTCTTCCGCTATAACTTTTATGCAGATTTTACATAGGTGGTGTGAGCTCAGACAAGGCCATAGTGACACAAGACGTATAATATATTCACACCATCTGTAAAACTGAAGAAGTCAGGCGGTCAGTATCTTACTGTCAGAGTCCAGCAGGGTCCTACCTGAGGTTGAAAAAACTTGACTAATTTCAGTGGAAAAGAGTAAACACAGTGGTGAGCCATGGGCACTGTTACTCAGTTAAAGGCCATTAGGAAAACTTGCGGATTTGGAGCATATAGTATATAATTTTTCCCCCCTTTGGATTCTTTGTTCAAAGAAACAGATTGTTTCTCCAGTTAGGAGCTGTCAGGAAGTGAGGATAATTTAATAGTAGTATATAAGTAAAGGATCTATTTTAAAGAAGAAAGAATTAAATGAGGCAAACACTGTGTTTGGTAAAAAAGCCATTATTCTTATTAGCCGGGATAGGAGCAGTCTGGTCATTTTTGTAGCTTAGACAATATTCATGTTTCATCTGTGGTCATATATTGTTGGAAAATGTGCTTTCTCCCCCCACCCACCCCGTGCCATCTTAGAGAGACTTGTCTTTTGGTAGTGTTCTGTGCAGTGATTTACACTCAGTAGGAAAACATTTCATTTGAGCTGTGAGTACTAGACTAGCTCCTAGTAACACTAACACCTAACTCATAGATCCAGACAGACTTCTGACTGCCAGAGACTAATGGTGCACACTCGCGCTCACAGGCACTCGCTCTCTCTCTCTCTCTTCTCTCTCTCCCCCTCCATCCCTTCCTGTGTGTGTGTGTGTGTGTGTGTGTGTGTGTGTGTGTGTGAGTGTGTGTTTCATGGAAAAGGTCAAGTGTTCACGTTGAACAATGTAATATCAAGCTAATCCTCAAGGACTGGCACCAGTTGCAGTGATGATATTCTCTTAGGAATAGTTTCCAGAATGAAGAGATAGATCAGCGAGTGGATGGATGGATAAGATGGAAATACATGTAGTCTTATTTTAGAAATAAGTCTGTAGGAAGACATTTGCATACAGAGTGCAGTGATAGCCTAAGAGTTGGATTTCCTTAGCCATTACAGTTAGCCTCCTTTGATCTCCAGCTACCTTAACTGCAAGCACATAATCTTGCCAATCTGCATGGTCTTGCAAATCACCAACATCTGTGGGGCTAGAATAAAAGAAAGTGCTTCCCATTCAGGCCAGCAAGACTTGAGGCAAGGAAGACTTGTGGTGGCTAGACTTGAGGGAGACCTTCATGGTGGAGAGACTGTGGCAAGGTGTATGCAAAGGAGTACCCTAAAATAAAGTCCACAGTTAAAGATTTTTGCTCTTCTTGCCAGATACTTGAAGGAGAAGCTGGCTTATAACTGCTGTGCAGCAAACCTTGCAGAATGATTTGGATTTGACTGTTGAACTAAAACTAGAACCTAGACTAATTGAGCAATTGTGCCTTGGAACTCGGACTAAAACCTGGACTTATTTGGGGGTGATATTTTTTGCCTTCTCTACTTGCCAACTTACTTCCCTAATAAACGCTATTTTCAGTACCACAACTGTGTCTGTGAGTCAACAACAAATAAACGAACTTCTTGCTGTTGGCGTGTCTCTAAAGGCACTATGTGGCTGGGCTGCAAGGTCTTTCTTTATCTGCTTTCTCCTCTGGGACAGTGAAGAGCTGTGCTGTTCTTAATCTCTCTGACCCCTTCAGAGAGATCTTCATGGCCTTGTGCCCTCAGTCCTATTTCTGCTTAGGCACTGAGACAGACAAAAATAGCTTGAGTTTATGTAAAGCACATGTAAACTACAATATATCGTAATTTTGTACTACATACATGAGCAAAGTAGTAAGCCATCACAAATTTAAGAATTTTGTCTTAAATTGAGAAATCATAAAGAAACTGATTGTTACAGGTTAATAGAGAAGAAAGACACTCCAACTGGAAGAAGGACCAGTTAATGTATGAAAGAGTAAAGGTGGAAACATACCACAAGTTCGTTAATGGTTGGGTTTTGACTGATGGCCTTTTGAAAAGTGACAAAAGATAATTCTTTCAGAAGACTTAAGGTATAAAAAAGTTATGTTAATATTAAAAGTTACATTATAACTGATCTTAAAGTGTCCAGTTTTCACTTGATATTCAAATCTTTGTGCATACTGTAAGGAAAGGCTGGTCCTTGGAAAAAAGTTGTCAGGCTGGGAAAGGTAGAGGGTCAGCAAAAGAGAGGCAGATCCTCATCAGATTAATTGACACAGTGACTATCACAGTGAGCTTGAGTATGGAAGAGATTGTAATGATGGTGCAGAATAGCGCAGGGTTCCAGTGTGTGATTCATAGAGTCACTATGAGTCGTAGTCAACTTGACGTATCTAACAACAGCCTTCAAATCTTACTCCATTTTCCTCTGTCTGTACCCTAATGCGAGCTTTTTGTTTGTTTGGCTTTCTTATTTTTCTTTTTTCTTGAAAGTAGTTTAATTCAGATTGAAAATTAATGGCTTCTACACTATTCATAGCAAGATGCACAATATTCACAAATGCAGCACTAATCATTAATGATAACTTTTTTAATATCTTTGGTTTCTTATTTCAAGATTCATCTTTATAACATAATCATTATATATCCCTTCATCTACCATGATCCATCAGGTTAAGTATAATACCCTCTACAGCTGAGGAACTGAATATTTATTGATAGACGAAAATACTACCAGACTGACTTTAATTTGTAATCACAATCTGTAAGTTAGCCAAAGGAAGAAATGCAGTCGAGAGAGAGAAATGATAAAGAAAATCCTCTAAGAAAATTACAGTTCAACAGAACCATGATGAGATACAGGCCATGAACTGTGGGGAGTGGGAGGACAGAAACTGTGAAGGCACTGGAATGGGTATGGATTTGGCCCTAATGGGATGTAGAAAAACAGCAGACCATTTGTGACTGGTGTGAGTAAGTGAGGTTAGGGGATGAGATTGATTTTTTTATAGCATTTCGTGTTGTAAGGATTCTGACCTTTGCTCTGAACGAGTTGGGAGCCACTGTGATATATGCTTACTTTTAATAGAGTAATTTTAAAAGGATAAGAGAGAGGCAGTACTGATTGCCTACACTGATTACTTTTAAGAAAGAGACACCTGAGTGAAAGGGAAATTTGCTTCTTACTATTATCCCTTTTCAATTTTTTGTCATGTTCAAGTATTACATATTTTTTAAAGTAGATAAAATCTAATTTTGTATAGAATAGAATATACTTAGATTTAGGAATACTTTAAATTAGTATGCTTTTGTTGATAGCTCACTCAACAGCAGTGCTAAATAATTGATTTTTATGGTACATAGTAATTATTTTTTTACATTGTGTTAATATCTGCTCTAGGTACAAAGGTCAAGAAATAAGCAAGTGAGAGAATTATTCTCAGATGGTTTTAGTATCCATCATGCAGGAATGCTTCGGCAGGACCGAAATTTGGTTGAAAATTTGTTTTCTAACGGACAAATCAAAGTCTTAGTCTGTACAGCTACCTTAGCCTGGGGTGTCAATCTTCCTGCTCATGCTGTTATTATTAAGGTAAGAGCTTACCTTCCTTTGCACATGGATTTGTGTGTGTCTTAAAACAAACCTATGAATTGATTTATTTAGAAAAATATTGGGATTTCTCTGTTTCATTGACTTTGAATGTTATTTATATAAAATCAGATTTATTTTCTCCAATAAGAACCTAGTTTGTTTTGGGAACATTTAACCATATCAGAGATGATGAAAGGATTAGTTAGAGTACACTTTTGAGATCTTGCCTTATTTGCCTAATTTCACTATTTGGCTCATCAGGATTATATTTGTGTGTGTTTATGGTAATTTTATTAACTTTTCTTCATCTAGGGAACACAAATATATGCTGCAAAAAGAGGGTCTTTTGTTGATCTTGGAATTTTAGATGTCATGCAGATATTTGGTCGAGCTGGAAGACCACAATTTGACAAATTTGGGGAAGGAGTCATCATAACAACGCATGATAAACTCAGCCACTACCTCACTTTGCTAACTCAACAAAATCCAATTGAGAGTCAGTTTCTGGAAAGCCTTGCAGATAACCTGAATGCAGAGGTAAGGTCTTACAGATACTAGATTGGAGTAAACTCTAAAGCTGTGCAAGTGTGACCAAGTAAATTAAGTGTTGTATTGATTACTGGGTTTTTTGGTAGCATTTAGGAATATATGTTATACCATACATGAGTCATAGCACAAAACAGACTGAACAATGATGTTGTTTAATTTAGAGAAATATAGAATGCAGGTGATAACTGATGAGGACATTATCAAGAGACTGCACAAAACCATGCAGTTTTGTTCCAGGCCATTATTCTAATTACATATAAGACAAAGAAGGGCACCAAAAAAGCAATAACAATAGTTAGCATTTATGTAGTACTTTATAAAATTTTCATCATGAAATATCTTACAAATCTGGTTGTATCATTTCTAAAATTCTTAAATTTTTCTTAGATTATTTGATTAATATTGTTATATAGAATAAGATTATTTAACAGAGTAAGACTATGATAATTTAAATTTCATGTACATATACTTTAGGGTAATTATTTGTTTTATGTTAATATTTAAATATCAGACTTTGTAATTTGACTTTACTGTTAAAAGTCTTCACTGATAGTGAGGATAAATACTTGTATACAATTTTTAGGGTATAGATTACAAACAATCAGATGAAGTTTCACTATTGGCGTTTTGTTTTTCTGTTATTTTTTATTGACATTTTAGCAATAGTCCAGGACCTCAACAAGAGAAGGGTAGAAAACCCAGCTGCAAAATGGGCACAGGATCTGAACAGACACTTCACCAAAGAAGACATTCAGATGGTGAACAAATACATGAAAAAAAAATCTTCAAAATCCCTAGCTCTAAGAGAGATGCAAATCAAAACAGTTATGAGATATCATCTCACCCAAGTAACAGTAACAAAGTATTTTCTTAGCTTTTTAAATTTATATAATAAAATGTTTTCCATTTAAATATTCTTCACATGTACGGCAGTGACCATGTGTTTAATACTAAATAAATGAAATCCTGTCAAATATTGTTTAATACATACTTGTGCTAAAGCACGTACTTCCTAAATAGCTTATGCAAGTGTCACTTACATTCTAAAATCAGCATTTCTAGTATTTATTAATCTGATTTTGGAGGGTGAAAGCACACTTAACACTTTGTTAACAAGAGGAAGAAAGTCACCAAAATACATTGCAGTAAACTTTGGAAAGAAGTTGGTAAGTTCTACGCAGGTACCAGAAAGACTGCCATAATTCAGAGTAAAGAGAGAATACCTTAGGCAGAAAGATAACAAGAAATGATTCTCACATAAAGGAGATACAATTTGATCGCAATTCTGAAGGATAGGTTTTCAACGATACAGATGGAAGTTGGGGGCAGGGGGGAAGTATTAGATTCTATTAGTAAAATGGCAAGAAAATAAACAAGACTAGTAAAATAAATATTTTACTCAGCAGCTACGCCATGGGAGAATGATAGTTTATCACCTCTTGTGCAATTTACTGCCTCTGAAAATCCATTGGAAGGTCAACTATGAGTTGGTTCTGCCTTGATGGTACACAACAGCAATCAGAGAAAATTATTAAGGGACTTCTGGTGGCCTGGTTGTAAGGAGCTTGCTACCACCCCAGAGTTACAAAAGTTCAAATTCACTAGTTACTCCACGAATGTAAAATGGACATTCTCCTCCCATGTGATTTATAGCCTCTGAAAATCAGCTTGAAGGTCAACTATGAACTGATTCCTATTTGACTGTACATAACAACAAAATGATATTCCCTTTAAATCCTCATTGCCTACTCTCATTGCATACTTTCACTAATTAGGTTTTGAGATTCCTCAGAATATTAAACACAAATTATATTGTAATTCAGCAGTTCTACTTCCAAATATATACATGAAAGAATTGAGAACAGGCTTCAAAAGATACTTACCTGTGAGTATTCATAGATGCACTGTTTGCAGTAAACATGTAATAACATCTTATGGTCGACCAACAGATAAGTGGATAAATAAAATAAGTCATATGGAATATTATTAAGAAAAAAGTGAGTAAATATTCAGTCATTTAAACCATATCTAATACTTATTGCAGCATGGATGAATCTTGAAAACCTATGCCAATTAAAATAGTTCAGACAGAAAAAAATCGGAACAAATCCTCACTACTGTACCAATAGGCAACATCATGATAGATGGAGAAAAAATTGAAACTGTCAACACTTTATCTTGCTTGGTTCCACAGTCAAAACTATTGGTTCCAGCAGTCTGGAGATCAGGAGACATTGCATTGGGAAAGACTGCAGTCAGGGACATCTCCAAATTATTGAAGAGTAATAATGTCAGTTTGAAAACTAAGGTGCACTTATTCTAAGATTCAGGACATAATCTTTCTAATCACTTTCTGTGCTGCTGAGCGCTGGACAGTGAATTTGAATGACAAAAGAAGAATTGGTGCCCAGAGTACTGAATATCCTCTGGACTGCCAAAAGAACAAATAGATATTTCTAGAGAAGAGTATTGAACATACCATGGACTGCCTAGGGAACAAACAGGTCGGTTCCTGGAGAGGGTAAAACCAGTTTGCTCCTTGGAGGCAAGAATTTTGAACCTCTGTTTCATATACAGTAGGCATGTTTTCAGGAGTGGCCAGTTCTTGGAAAGAGCATCATGCTTGGGAGAGTGAGAGCCAGTACAGGAGAAGACGACACTGGATAAGATAGATTTAACAGTGGTTGTGGAAGTGCAGTCAAGTGTGTCAGAGATAGTTAGGCTGACTCATGATAGGACCAGGTTCTGAGCCATTGTTTATATAGAGTTATTATGAGTTGTAGTCAACTCAACACTACAGAACAACATACAGAAGAATTCATTTCTCTTCATTAATATTTAAACTTTTTCTTCACCTAATACCAAGGGCCAAATCAATATGCAGAAGATAGGAATGAATTTTTCAGACTTAACAGTAAAATTCATAATTTTTATGCATGTTTTTATTGAAAAACATACCAAAGAAAACTATCTTACTAAAGCTAGAATTAATGTCTTTGAAAGCTTCTTCTAAGTGGTAAAAGACTAAAGTGGTAATAGTATTGTGCAGAAAACACAAAGTGAGTAAAATACCACCTGAGGAAACTTTTTATTAGGGACTATAAAATATACTCAGTGAAACTTTTTTATTAAACTGTTGAAATTAAAAATAAATTATGGCACATAGGTTCATCTCCTGTCATTAAGAACTTACTGGTGTGTAATTTTCAGAAATGTCGAATAACTGGAAGCATAATTCTATTTAGAGACATAATTGACATTCAGTAATTAAACATACACCTTGAAATTTTTGGTTAATATGCTAAAAGTATAGCCTTTGCTGTAATTTTTATATTTTTATCTACTAGAATAGTTTCCTTTAAAAGTTATTTTTTCTTATTAAGAAAAACAAAACTTTCTTATATTACACTTGAATATAAAATTAAATTTGGTAACTTGTGGAAATCATGTGTGAAATTAGTTTATAAAGTGAATATATATTGTTTTTCTCAAGGGAGTATATTTTTATGTCTTTGGCTCCCCAAGATTTTGCATGACTACATTGGCAGTGGTGAAAAGGTCATGCTATCGCAGATTGTAGCCTTAAATATGGGTTGAAGCTCAACATCAAGAAAATAAAAGATTCTCACCACTGGACCAATTGGCAGAATCATGACAGACAGTGAAGAGATTAAATTAAGATTCTTGACAGCTTCAGTTTACTTGGCTCCACTATCAACACTCTTGGTACCAGCAGCCAGGAAATAAAAAGATTAATTGCATTGGCAAAGTCTGCTGTCAAGGAAATCTCCAGAGTACTGAAGAACAACAGTGTTAGTGTGGAGACTAATATGCATCTGCTCCAGGTCATGGTCTTCATAATTACTTGTTGTGCATCAGAAAACTGTACAGTGACTAGGGATGATAAAAGGAAAATTGATGCCTTTGAACTATGGTGCTGGAGGAGAGTATTGAATATACCATGAACTAAACCGGTTCATCTTGAAGAGGGTGAAACTTGGCTGTTCTTTGGAGGCAAGAATTCTGAAGCCTCATCTGACATACTTTGGGCATGTTGCAAGGAAGGACTTGTCCTTGAAGAGGGACATCATGCTTGGGAGGGTGGAGGGACAGCACAAGAGATGAAGACACTCAATGAGATAGATTGACTCACAGACTGGGATAACAGGAATAAGTGTTTCAGAGACAATAAAGTTGGTTAAGGATAGAGCAAAGTTCAGAGCTATTGTACACGGGATTGCAGCGAGTTGCAAGTGACTTGTTGGCACATAACAACAGCATATTAGAAGTATTGCTTCTGTTGATAGTATTGATAACACGAGTATCATGTCTGGATATTAGTGTAGAAGAACCAGAAGTATGATTACATTAAGCAGTAGTTTTCATGCAAACATTTAATGAAGCAATACTGAATAGGACTTTGTAGATTGATACCAAGTGGGATTGATTTTGTAATGCTAATGCTAAAAGGACACAGATTCTATCCTTGCTTAAAAGAAAAAAAGTTGTCTTTGGGGCAGTTCTATGATTTTCAGTGCCAAACAGTACTCCATAATATTTTAAGGCTGTGATCTTTCAGAACTAAATTACTAGGCCCTGCTTTCTGTGTACCTCTGAATAGATTCACACCAAGCTTTGCATTAGTAACTACCACCTACCTACTTATCAGGCTGCTTTCTGAAAGCTCAAAAGTTTGAATCAACCAACTGCTCTGCTAGAGAAAGATGGGAAGCTTCCTCCTATAAAGATTTACAGTCTTAGAAACTCCAAGGAAGAATGCTGTGAGATAGAATTGATAGAACGAGTAGGAGCACCCTATATAAAGACATTTGGATTTGCATTGTGTTCCTCATACATGTAAAATAGAATTTTCTTCTGTATTCAGATGCATTCTTTATATGGAGCCCCCCATCATAGTACAGACCTCTTCTCAGGGGATCTAAAGCCTCCTCAGGGGTCATTATTTTAAAATGTTGTTGATTGCCTTCAAGTGGAGCACGACTCATAGTGACCTTATGAACAAAAGGCCTGAAGCCTTTCTAAAACTATCAACATTTATCATAGTTCATAGAGTTTCCACAGGCATATTGTTTAGCAAGTGGATGCCACTCCTGCTTCCAAATTAGGTGGCTTCAAATGGTCTTTTGCCTTTGGTATCTGCTTCCAGTGACCTCTTTAAAGTGCTAGTGAGCAATGATATCACTAAAAGACTAAGTTGTACCTGCCCCAAATAGTGGTGTTGGTTGTATCATATTCTTATGGAAATTGGTCAATGAATAAGGAAGATTGAAAGGAAAATTGATGCCTTTGAACAGTGGTGTTGGCAAAGAATACTGAATATGTCATGGACTACCAAAAGGATGAACAGATCTGGGTTAGAAAAAGTAAAACCGGGTTACTTTTTAGAGGCAAGGACAGTGAAAATTCATCTCATTTACTTTGTGCATGTTACCAGGACAGACAAGTCCCTGGAAGACAACATCATGCTTAGAAAAGTGGATAAGGGTCAGTGAAAGAAAGACTCAGTGAAATGGGATGACCCAGTGACTGCAGCAGTGCACTTCAGTACAGCTGACTTGTGAAGGTGGTGCAGGATCAGGAGGGTTTCATTCTGTCAGACCTAGGATTGCTGCGAGTTGGAACTGACTGGAGGGCAGCCAACAACAGTCTGAGCAGCTTTACCAATTTTAACTCTTAATTCCCTTCCAACACAGGTCTTTCGACCAAGAGAGGCTATTAGTGTACTCACTTCCACCTGTGACATCCTACTTTGCCATTTGTAAAATTATAATCTCACTGATTTTTTTGTGGAAAAATAACAAATATCTATGCCAAATCAATAGTCCATAGTGATAGCATCACTTATTTTTCCATAGTCTCTGTATGCTTAGGAAATTCTGTTGTCTCCATCCCCTGCTCCCCAGGAGAAAGATGGGCTATCTCCTGTGTAATTTACAGCCTCTAAAAGATAAAGAGTGTCAGCTATGAGTCAGTTTAGATTTGATAGCAGTGAGGTGGGATTTTTATATGTACACATTGTCTAGTCACATTTTAGTTGAATAAATAAATAGTAACTTTATTTTTATATGTATGTTAACTCAAAACGCCCTGGTACATTATTAGTTAGATTGCTACCTTAAAGGTTAGTGATTTTAATCTATCAGCCACACAGTGGGACAATGATAGACAGTCTGACTCTATAAAAATTTACAGCCTCAGAAACCCAGTTGAGGGTCAACATGAGTCAGAATTGACTCAATAGCAATGGATTTTATTTTGATTATTTTAGCTTTTTGTTTTGTGTGTAGTGAAAGATACATGTATGTGTGTATATACATGCATGTATATACATATAATTCTTTTTGTTTATTTAATTTTTATATAGTTTAAACTAGGTTTTTAATAAACAACTAAGCTTAAAGACTAAATTTTAAATAAGTTAATTGGGTTTGAAGCAATACTTTAAGTGTTGTTTGTAGATTATAAAATTTAATAATCCCCCCATTTTTTAAGAGTCCACAAAGCCCTATTAAACTGTAGTACTAATTCTACTTTTATCAGTTTCACAAATTAGATGTTTTTCTTTAAAAACTTTTTTTTAGTGTTATGTGTTCATTGGGATGACAGCTTCATATCTATCACATTTGTCAGCTGTATGTGTCTACATGTGTTCCCCTCCATTGAACAGGATATTTCTTGAGGCCAGGGACCATCTTCTGCTGCATACTTGTCCTCTGTGCTTTCCATAGTACAATCTTATTACTGATTGAGGAGTACAGAAGCAATGAGTGATTACATTTCAAAAACATGCTTCATAAAAGGCACCTGAATTATATATATAGCCACTAGGTGACAGTAGATATTTACAAATAAATTTTTATTTTTGTCGCTAGGTGGCCTTCAAGGATTAGCCTCTAAATAGGAAATAAATTTACTTGTTTCTGTAGGTAGTCTCATCTTACTTGAGAGCATTGAGAATACATGCATTCCTTTATTCTGTCTTCTTTTCCTTTAATCATAGTTATCAAAAGGTAGCTGTTTATCTTAGGAAATGTATAAGAAAACATTTCATTGGAATATTTTGTTAAAATCATTATCTAGTAATTAGGTGCTTTTCTTTATAATTCATTAATATTTTATTAAATTAACATATTGCAAAGTTAAAAATTTTCTTTTCTTTCAAAATACAATCTAGAGAACAATCTGATATTTTGTTACCAGTTTTAAAATGTCTAAATACCTTTTTAGTGGATTATTTTACATTCATCAGCTCAAGAGAAAAAAACCAACCCCTCTCCTGTACAAAAGATTTTTTAAGTGTATGTATGATTAATATTATAAGTGTCAGTAATACATGCTTCAGTTTTGTATACCAATTACTGAATTTTATACTGCATTCATATTCTTTATCTATACTAAAAGTCCTGCAAACAGGTATCTTTAGATGTAAAAATTATTGTGCATCTTCTGTAGTTTTGATAGTAACACTACATAAATCACAGTAAGTATATCATTAGTTGTATTAAATTGATTTGATTTGATAGGCTTACATTTAAAAGTTTTCATGGTATAGTAAAATAAAATGAGGCTCTAAGTTGAAATTCAAAAAAGAAAGCATTCAACACTACAAATGCTCTCCGTGCTATTGACAATTAACTCCATTTGTGTGGGGGAAAAATGAAATTAAGGTAAATTCCCTGGTATAATGTTCAGTAGGTTCAATTTTGGAATGGTATTTCTGGTGTTCTTTCTCAGATAAATGAGACAGAGCTAATTTTTTAATTAATTGGAAAAAACTCAATAATCTTACCTTCTCTTACAGTATAATGATAGTTTTTATAACTTTTCTGGTGAAGTCCTTTTTGATGTAATATATTCGTTAATTTTTTTTATTTTTGACTTGCAGATTGCTCTGGGGACAGTTACTAATGTAGAGGAAGCAGTGAAGTGGATAAGTTACACGTATCTTTATGTACGGATGAGAGCAAATCCATTAGTATATGGCATCGCTCACAAAGCTTATCAGGTAAAATTAATTAATTTTTTTTAAAAAAAGAGAGAAAATCTTTTTTGTTCTGTAGTCTTTCCATGATGTGAGGGGGTAAATATTTATTTGTTACTCTTGCCCTTTCTGAAAGTTAGTTACTTACTGGAAATAAAGATAAAGAACTGATATTTTTGAAAAGTAGTAGGGAAAATGACATATGCCCTCTGTGACTATTTCATTTTGTTTAAATCAGATTTCCATTGATACTAATAAATATATTTACTTTTATTATTTATTATTCAGGTGACATCTTCGTATTTTGCTGGGATATTTTAGACTATAATAAATACAGTTTTCCAAGACTTAGGCATGAGAAAATTAAATGACCATTTTTAGTAATGAGTTTATCTTGCCTTCAATATTCCCTTTTATCCAAGTTCTTCTAAACACTATTCTTAAATGACAAGGTAGCATTGATGAGTTATTGCCTTTACCAATTTGGTGAGAGGGATCAGGCTCATGAGTTACTGTGTGTGCACAGACAAAATCAGATGCATGTGGTGGTGGCGCTTCCTGTGAACTTTACAGTTGTGTGGTCCACATGGCTTACAGATTCTGACAGCTTGTCTTTACTTTAGAACTCTGCTTAATAAACTGTAAGTGCTTCCTAAATACAGATAAAATCATGTTATTGTCTAATAAAAACATCATTTCACCATCATTATCATATAAATATTAACTAGTGTTAAGTCAAGGCACTCTGGTGGCCTGGTGGGTAAGAAGTTGTTCTGGCAACCCAAAGGCAGAAAGTTTGAAACCACCAGCCTGTGCCTCATGAGAAAGATGGATCATCTCCTCCTATGCAATTTTCAGCTTCTGAAACTCACTAGACAGTCTAGTCTGACTCATTTCCAACTTAATGGCAATGAGTCTGTCAGTTGAGTCAATGTTAAGTCAATATAAGTAAAATTGAATTAACTCTAAGAGCTTCATCATTTTACTGATGATATATTATGTGTTGTTGTTATGTACTATTGAGTCAGAACCAACCCATAGCTGACACTCTGACTGATTTTCAGAGGCAGTTAATTACATGGGAGGAGATTGCCTATCTTTCTCCTGTGGAGCACCTGGTGGATTTCAACCACATATCTTCAGGATTGCCACTCAGCTTCTTAAAATTAGACCATCAGAGCTCTGTGTGTGGGTCTGTGTATTTCATTACGTTATCAGAGCAGTTAATAGTTTTAGATGGTTTGTTGTTGGGTTTTTTTAAATTATTTTACTTTCCTTATACTGTATTTTTTATTATGAGCAAACTGAACCTTAAGACCAGTGAGTGGAAAGAGTGAGAAGGTAGAAAAATGAAAAGTGGTATTACTAGTTTCAAAGCTACTATTCTGAAATTATTGGGTTTTTACTTAGATTGACTCTAGTATATAACTGTCTTCATATATTGCCTTCCTCTTATCAGCCACATGCTTTTCTAATTCTAGAAAAGAAGAACATTATAACCTGTAACCTTACACTTTAAAAAAATGATACTGCCTGTTCATGTTTTCAAATAAGACTTTTGTGAAAGCTTTATAAAGACCTTTGTTGGTACTGTGAAAATATTATAAAGAAATAAAAATAAATCACAGCATATTCTAAAAGGTTAATTCATACCATATCTTAGAATAAGATAGGTATCTATTTCAAAGAACTAAATTAATATTAGAGTCATTTTTTACTTGTAATTTTGCCATATAAATAAAGGGGTTTTTTCCCCAAGATGCATAATTTGACAGTCTTCACACAGAAAAACAAGCTTAGAGAATCTTGTTTTTCTTATCTCTGTGTTTTCATTTTATTACTCACTATTTGTAGCCCCAAGAGTACGTGTTAACTAATACAAATCAAGTGATTTAGCATGATTTAGTAACATACAATTAATGTTTCCAGAAGATGAACATGGTATATATATCACATCTGAAAATATTTATGTATCTTTATATTTGCTAATATGACTTCATTATGTTTATAGGAAACCTTTTTGTCCCAACAGAGAAAGGGATCACTGCATGGTTTGAAGTCAGGCCTGGTATATATCAGGGCTGTATCTTTTCTCCATAACTGTTCAATCTGTATGTTGAACAGATCATTTGAGAAACTGGACTTTATGAAGAAAAATGTGACATCAGGGTTATAGGAAGACGTCAGTAACCTGTGTTATGCAGATGGCACAACCTTGCTTGCTGAAAGCAAGGAGGATTGGAGGATTTGAGGCTCTTGTTCCAGAGCCTCAAGTCAAGGACTGCAGCCTTCAATATGGATTATATCTCAACATCAAGAAAACAAAAATCCTCACCACTCGGCCCTTGACAACATCATGATAGATAGAAGATTGAAATTGTCAGCAGTTTCTTCTTGCTTGGATCCACAGTCAGCATTCTTGATCTACTATCAGGACCTTTCCAAATCCCTGAAGAGCAGTGATGTCAGTCTAAAGACTAAGTTCTATCTAATTCAAGCCATAGTCTTTTCAATCACTACTATACATCTGAGAGCTGGACAGTGAATAAGGATGACAAAAACATCTATGCCTTTGAATTATGGTATTGGAGAAGAGTGCTGAATATCACACAGGCGGCCAAAAGAACAGATATGGCTTGGAGAAAGTGAAACCAGAGTGCTCCCTGGCAGCAAAGATGGAAAAGCTTTGTATCAGATTCTTTGAGCATGTTGCAAGGAGAGGCTATTCCTTCATCATTCTTGGAAAATTGGAGGATCAATGAATGAGAAGAAGATCCTCAATGAAATGGACTGAACTACTGTTCAAATGCGTGAGAGATGATGAGGATAGCACAGGATAGTACGGGCTTCAGAACTGTTGTTCATGGGGTCACTATGAGTCATACTGGACAATGATACACTATGACTTTTGAGTTTATTTTCCTACAGTTGATTTTCTTTGCCTCCTTTTTCTGACTTTTCAATTTACCTTAGCAATATTTTTTCCAAAAAAAGCTGTTATAGAAATACAAATTATGACAGTGAAAGTAATAATTTCTTAATTCTGAAGCTTTTTTTTTTACTTCTAATTTTTTTTATGATTAGAGGTTGGCCTTCAAGATTTGGCTTGTGTACATGCTTATGTTTACATCCAGACACATAGTTACAAGTAGATACTGATGTATACATCCTAGCTAATAATTTTTTAAAAATATTTTGTATTAAATGGTATGTCTGACCTAGTGCTAAGACACTATGCTGTAATCCCAAACACATGTGGTTCGAATCCATCAGCTGCTCTGTGGGAAGAATATGAGGAGTCTCCTCCCTGAGATTTACGATCTCTGAAAACCAAGGTTAGATAGAGGTTGGTTCCAACTTGATGACACAAAACAATGTAAAAAAAAAACAATGCAATTTAGGTAGTAGTTTCAAAACTATTTTTAAAAAGTCATGATTTACTTAATTTTGTGCTTTTCCTCTGTTATGTGGAAGAAAGGCTTTGCATAAGCAGTTAGGAAATCAGAATGAATACTAGAATCACTCTTAAAAAGATAAGTTTTTAATTGACCTTTTCATGTTATAACTGATAGGGGATGTGTCCTCACTATCGTTTTTCCAAATAATTGATAAAGTAGGAATATGGTTTGGTAATTTTTAATCTTTAATTTACTCTGAAAGAGAGAAGACATTGCTTACATTATTTTTTTTCCTTTTTAAATCTGACTTTTAAATATCTTAAATACTGTAAGACCATCTTAGATTTTAAAATTAACAACTGATAGCTGAATATAAAATAAATATTGATAGTTTGTTACTTTTTAAGAGCTTCCTTCATTTAGGCTTTTTTATAGCCAAATTTTGATAAGAATGCACATCTTTAAATATTATAATTAAAAACTACTCTAACTGAAATACTAACAAAAAATTTAATGCTCATAAATAAGTTTTTGCAAATGATAACACCCTAAAAATATCATCTAAATGGTTATATTATTATTTTTTTTCCCTAGATGGACCCAGGATTAGAAAAACATCGAGAACAACTCATCATTGAAGTTGGACGAAAGTTAGACAAAGCTCGGATGATTCGTTTTGAGGAGCGAACCGGTTATTTTTCCTCCACTGATTTGGGCAGAACTGCAAGTCACTACTATATTAAATACAACACCATTGAGGTATTGTACTGAGTTGAACAAATGTAGTAATGGGTTCGTCATTAGATGCAAATACTATATAGCCTTCAGGATACATTTTCAAAAGTAATTCACAGTGTAAAGTTCATATAAGTCAACATGCAATAAAAGAAAAGTAAGATTTTAAATTAAAGTATGTGTCACTGAAGGGTCATACTACAGTCTGTGATAGAATGCTATGTGATTTGGATGTGGTATGAGCAGCACCTTATAATTGTGAGAGCCCACATCCAGTTGTTGCTGCTGCCGCTGTCGGAGCAGAGTCTAAAAGGAGAAGTGGCAGCAGTACTTAAGAAGGCAAGAGCAGCAGTGGCACAAAGGGAAGCAAGCAGGGAGGAAACAGAGTTTGCACAGCGCCCATTCTGTCCTGGCCTCTTGAGCAGCAGAAGCAGCCTCTTGTATCTACTGCCCACCTATCCACCAGACAGACCATGTCTTCTTCACTCTTACATGGCTTACCAGGGCCCAGTGCTGCAGGTGTCTGAGTTTGAGGTCTATAAACCATTAGGATGAAATAATAAATGAGTCTCTTTGCTTTGAAAAACAAGAACCCTTGTGGTACCACAGATCTGAATGTTATCGGTTATTTCTTGAACAGACATCATGTGACACATACCTGTATTAGGATATCTTTTGTTATACTGCTCAAAAGATATAAGAAGTAGGTAAGCCCAAGCCTAAAACAGAAAGAACATGTTGGTGAGACCTATGAAATGAAAACTTAGTTAATTTCTAAGTGGAAGGTAATATTTTAATGATATCCTTGGATAAAAATTTAAAAAATAAGTGTTAAAATATGGAGAAATACTTAACAAGTGTTATAAAGACTAATAAATTTATAAGTCAACTTGGTCGTATTATATGGGCAATTTAAGACCGTTTCAAGGATAATTTTAACCTTTGAATGTAGTCCTATATAAGTTTGTGAGTCACTGTGCTATTTGCAGTTTTAAAAGTATTTTCATATATTCATCTGTACTCATATGTACACACGCTCACATGTGTGTGCTTTCTAACAAATGTTGATGTACTGGATATGTAATGATCTTCTGTGAAAGAACACTTAAATTTGAAGAGAAACAGGTAATGTAGGAGATAAGTTATAGTGTACTTAACCATTATTTTTATCTTAAAATTCTTTTTAATACAAAAAGTGATTGAAATCATTAAAATAAAATTACTGTAGATATAGTAATTCCTACGCATATATGAAATGTGCATTTTGTACATATTTATTGTATTCTTAAGGATCTCAGCTGGTGCACACTGTTTGTACTTAAATAAGAAAAGTGGTTCAGACCCAACAAGAGGAACTGCAGAAGCAATGGCCTGGCAGTCTGTTTCTGTGAGGATTATAGGAAGGAAAACTCACGGAGGAGTTCTACTCTATAACGATTTGAGACTTAAGTGAATTTTAAGTATGATGCTGCCATGAATCAGTTATCTCAATGACAGGTGACAGCAGCAGCATGTTCTTGTTGTACTTAACTAGCTTTTTCTACCTTTCCTCATAAAAAGCTTCTGTTTGTGTACAGATTTTTATCTAAAGCCTTTTTAAATTTTTCATTCAATCACTCATACATTTTATTTTATAGCATTAATTACAATTACATAATGCCATTATTTAAAATGTCTTGTAAAGTCCTCGCTGTACCATCCTTTTCTGTTCACTCTATCTATCCATCTTCTAACCTGTTTTCCTTCTACCTTTCTTCACATCTGTGTTAACTTTCAACTTTTGTTTCGATGTAGAAACTTTTCTTTAGCTTCCTCCCCCCGCCAAACAAAGGCTTTTCATATTTTGTCTCTCAACTCTCATAAGTTCACGCCGAAGTTTCTGCACATTTTCCCTAGCCTTCTATTACTTCCAACACTTACTTTCATTCATTTTGTTCACTGATTTACCATTCTCAATTTGTCCTCTGAGTAGAATATTGCTGTCAAACTAGCTTTTGTCTAGTTTTCATCTAACTTCAAAATGTTTAGATGCTCTAACCTTTCTTTGGCTGGCTTTCTTCTTTATTTTAAAGAATTTTCTTGGCCTAGTTCATAGGGAATTATTGCATCACTATCCCAAAGGCCATACTTCCTCGGAGAATTTACCAGCAGCTCAGTGGGAGAAAGAAAGATGGGCAGTCTCTTCTCAGGCAATTTGCAGCCTGATAAAACCCACTGGAGAGTTAGCTATGAGTGTTTGGAAGTTTTTAGTTTTAGTTTCTTATTTATTTATTATTCTTGTTTGTTTTTAATACTCAGTTTTTGGTATGCTCTTGATAGTAACATTGTGACTTATTTACTAGAATCCTTTGATTACATAGTCTGTCTCAAATTTTGATATGATTTATTAATAATTTCAACCAGTAAACAGTTGTCAGATTGTCATGGCAGCCTGTGGTGTGTCTGTTTAGAACTGTGCTTGATAGGTTTTCAGTGTCTGATTTTTTTTGTAGCTATATCACTAGACATTTCTGTTGAAGACCCTCAAGATAGACTTGAACCTCCAACCTTTAAGGCAAGAGCTATCAGGTTATACAAAATTTGTACCATACAAGGGCTTCATGACCAGTTTTGAAGTGCACTTTCCTATTTGAAAACAAGCAAAGACTAGATTGTTATGGTGAACATTTTTAGTTATCTAATGGCACATAGGAATAGATGGTATACCAATTGACATATTTCAGTTAACAGATGCTGCCCTGGACGTGCTCACCAAGTTGTGCCAAGAAATGTGGAGAACAACCACTTGGCCAACTGATTGGAAGAGATCGATATTTGTTCCTATCCCAAAGAAAGGTGACCCAACAGAATGTGGAAACTACAGAAGAATCTCACTGATTTCATATGCAAGCAAGATTTTACTGAAGATTATCCAAAAACGACTGGAACAGCACATCAGCAGAGAACTACCAGAAGTCCAGGCTGGGTTTAGAAGGGGTCATGGTACTAGGGATATTGTAGCTGATGTTAGATGGATTTTGGCTGAAAGCAGGGAATACCAGAGGAATGTCTATCAGTGTTTCATTGACTATGCAAAGGCATTTGACTGTGTAGATCATAACAAACTATGGCTGACTCTGAGAAGAATGGGAATCCCAGAAGACTTGATCGTTCTAATGCGAAACTTATACTTGGACCAGGAGGCATTCGTCAGAACAGAGCAAGGGAACACTGTATGGTTCAAAATTGGGAAGGGCATACGCCAGGGATGCATCCTATCTCCATACCTTTTCAACCTACATGCAGAACAGATTATCCGGGAGGCTGGGCTCTATGAGGAGAAATGTGGGGTCAGGATTGGTGGACGATTTATCACCAATCTGTGTTACGCAGATGACACAACCCTGCTTGCTGAAACTGAAGAGGACCTGAAGCGGCTGCTTCAGAGTGTCAAAGACTGCAGCCTACAATATGGATCGAGGCTCAATGTCAGAAAGACAAAGATTCTCACCACTGGACCAATTGGCAGCATCAGGATGTATGGTGAAGAGATTGAGATTGTATACAGCTTTAGTTTGCTTGGCCCCACAGTCAACAGTCTTGGCACCAGCAGCCAGGAAATTAAAAGGCTCATTGCCATGGGAAAGTCTGCTGTTAGGGACCTCTCCAAAGTGCTGAAGAGCAGTGGTGTCTCTTTGGAGACTAAGGTGCGTCTGATACAGGCCATGGTCTTCGCAATCACCTGTTGTGCATCAGAGAGTTGGACAATGACCAAGGAGGATAGAAGGAGAATTGGTGCCTTTGAGCTGTGGTGCTGGAGAAGAGTATTGAGAATACCATGGACTGCTAGGAAAACAAACAGATTTGTCCTGGAAAGGGTTAAACCGGGTGGCTCCTTGGAGGCAAGGATTCTGAGGCTCTGTCTAACATACTTTGGACATGTTGTGAGGAGAGACAGGTCCTTAGAGAGGGACATCATGCTTGGGAGGGTGGAGGGACAGCGCAGGAGAGGAAGGCCCTCTATGAGGTGGGTTGATTCAGTGACTGGGATAATTGGGATGGGGGTGTCAGAGACAGTACGATTGGCACAGGACAGAGCGGAGTTTAGGGCTGTTGTACATAGGGTCTCTATGAGTCACAAGCAACTCGACGGCACATAACAACAACACAATGGCACATAACAACAACACAACAATGTTGGTCTTGTTTGTTTGTTTGTTTTTAACTGATTTCATTGATCTTTTTTGTTTCTAAGAGTATTTCCTAGCTAATTATGTTTTGTAGTATTAAATTTGATGATGTTGTGAGTTAACAGTTTGGAGTAGTAGAGCTACAGATATAACTTCATTGCCTAGGGCTCCAGTGTTTCTCAAGTATGATGATTTTGTGGTCATGTTTTTAATACATGATATTTCATTGAACTATCTATTTTAATAATAAAACTATTTGCTTACAGACTTTTAATGAACTCTTTGATGCCCACAAAACAGAAAGTGATATATTTGCTATAGTCTCCAAAGCTGAAGAATTTGATCAAATCAAGGTAAGATTATTTTACTCTTGACTCATATAATCAAAGTATATGCATTCATATGTGTGCAAAAGCTTATAATTACTCTTTATAAAATATAAAGTGCATAATACTTTACATTTGAGTATCACGAGTCTTTTCAGTTTTTCAAAGCATCTATTATACTTGATAGTATGTGTGATGTCATACTTTGCTCCAAATCAAATGTCATATAAATGGGTTTTACAGTAATAAAACTGTTGAGGAATACAGTATGTACATTTTGGTTTATTTACAATATGAAATTCACTGAAATAAATATAAAAGATCTGCGTGATTCAAACTTGGATAAGTATATTTCCATAGAAGTGTTATAATTTAATCTTATTAACAGTAAAAACTTTAATATTTAGCATTACAGTACTCTGCAATTTTAAACTATGAATGTGCTATACCACACAAAAATATATGACTATAATGAATGCATTTGAAGATAATTCAAGTTTGCTCTAATCCATTTGGGCAAAGGTTTTAGTCTGGTCAAATAAAAAATGAAATCTCATCAGTTGAAGGATGGCGAGGTCAGGGATTTAATTATTAAGGCATATCGAATTTTTTGTATGTCAATGGCAACTTGAATATTGGTGATGAATAATAAAATATAATTTAATCAGGTTCCAGATAGTTTCTAGTTGTATTTTGTTAGGTATTTGTGGGGGAAAACCCCTAATATTTAGTTATGTATCACAGGAAGTTGTTGAGTTATAGCAAATAGAAACGTTTAAAAACTTGACATGTCAGTATGAAAAAAGAATGTCATAATCTCCCCAAATATTCTTATGAAAACATTGGTTCTTTTAGGTCAGAGAAGAAGAAATAGAAGAGTTAGATGCTTTATTGAACAATTACTGTGAACTCACAGCTCCTGGAGGTGTAGAGAACAATTACGGGAAAATAAATATCCTACTTCAAACCTACATCAGCCGAGGAGAAATGGATAGTTTCTCTCTTATATCAGATTCTGCATATGTTGCCCAGGTAAGAATCTTACTTTCCTTCTCTTTTCTGTTCCTTGTTTATTTCCAGGGATTCAAAGAATTAACTTTTGATATACTGTGAATGCACTTCAGTTAGGGTATCTATCTTTTATAAATCTTTGCATTAGTTTCTTTGAATTGACTTATCTTTTATACCATATGTGATATTAAACCAGGTCTCGAAGTGGAATTTGGTGGTGGTTTTAATTGTTTTTTGCATTTTATTATTATTTTCATTTTAGAGTTTTAAAATCTTAAATTTCTGTTGCTTAAAAAAAATTAATCTACTTGTTGTTTTGCTTATTTTTTTAATGCCAGAGTTCATTTCTTGTGCTTAATAAAGGGCAAAGATACAGGCTATTTCGGGCACAAATAAAATGTTGTGTAATTTGTAGCTTTTCCTATACTGTTATAAATATATCTTCTTACCATTAAATAAGTTTTAGTGAATATTTCTTATACCATAGATTCTGTGTGATTTGACTCTGATTTTAAAAAAGTCCTTTCTTCTGTTGATATTTTACAGTTGAAGACTGAAAGAAAAATATTCTTTAAACTACAACCTGTTAAATTTGTTAGAAAAATATAAACTGCTCTAATACCTGTATTTTTATATCCAGATACTCATAGGCAGTAATACAGCATTTTGTGTACTGCACTCAAATGAAAGGTTTTCTTTCCTGGAATACTTTTAAAATATACATGATTTCCCTCTTAAGAATATACTGTTTACTAATTTCTATCCTTTAAGTAGCCTTGTTGATGTTGTGGTTTAGCACTCAATTGCTAACTGCACAGTCAGAAATCAAAACCCACCAGTCCTTCTGTCTGAGAAAGACCTAACAGCCTGGTCTCTAAAGGATTTATAGTCTGTGGAGGGAACAGTTTTATACTGTGTCTTATGTGGCCACTGCGAACCAGAATTAACTGCAGCACATTCATCTGAAAAATTAAAACTTAATATTTTTTGGAAATATGGCAGTATTCTACTGTATATTTTATGTTGTAATTCAAGGAGTTATTGTAGAAAAAGTATGTTTACATTAAACAAACTATTATTAGTAGCCTTACTTACTCAGGAGTGCTATATGACCATGAAATATACATAAGCAATTTGAATTAATGCCAAAGTTAACTAAAGTAACCAAGAGAGCAAATAACTATTTCATGTTTTTTATTATATAAATGTAACGAAAAAGTTTTCAGATTTTGAAATATGTATGATCCTGCCAATGAATAAATATTCCTTAATAATCACTATTTCTAACTTCTTTTGTTGTATTTTTCTGTGTTTTTTTTTTTTTTTTTTTTTCACAAACTATGGCCTTTTATTTCAGCGCCTTTGCTTACATTTGTACAATATATTACATAATTCTCCACTGGTTGCAGGTTATTTTTCTGAAAAATAATAGAATATTGGCATTTTACATTTTTCAGTGACTATATATTGTAAGCTAATGATTTAAGTAAAGGCAAAGATTTACCAGATTGTACATGACTAATCTGGCCAAGTGTGTGCTTGATTAAAGATTATGAAGACATTATCAGACCTAAAGAATCATTTTGCAGTAAAAACTAACAATTATTGCATAACTAGAACCCAGGAAGTCAACCATAGAAGATTAAGCATATTCTTCAAAGCATTTCTAGTTTTCTGTCAATATTTTTAATGCACTTGTCTTCATTGAATGTGGTAACTGGTTTTTTTCTTTATATTTTATGTTGTGTGTCGTTCCACAAGCACTTCCTCAACTCTGAAAAATGACAGTTGTCTCTACAGTCTTCAACTTTTTGTTTTTCAGCCCTCAAACATTTAGCTCAAGTAGCCTAACATGAACAAGGACCTGTTTAGCTTATATGACCAATAAATATTAGAGATTTTGGTCATTATATTTATCCAGCTGTTATCATTGAGAATAAAATGTTCAATTTATTTGCCATTCCCTGATTCTTAATAAAACTCATCCTGTCATTCCTAATAGATTTCAGACTACTCTTCAGGTTACTAAATGTTATTTTTGTTCTTATATTTCCAGTGCTGAAATAAAGCAATCAAATGTGTCCAAAGAAAAATATTTTATAAAGGATGTAAGCCAAAGCCCTTGAATATTATGCTCATTTCTAATCTTATCATTTCAAGTGGGTGTTTTTTTTCTGTTTCTCAGTCTGTATAAACTCTTTTTCAAATTTTGAACAGATGTAGCATTTTTCATTTTCAAGTACAGATACCATCAGATATTGGAAAATGTGTTTAAGTTTTCAGATTTTTTAAAAGACCTTCAATAAAATAATGTCAAAATTAATGACAGAGGGAAAGAACAAAAAAAAAAAAATTTGAACCAATTGTAGGCACCTGGGAGTTGGGAAGCTTAATTTATTTTAGCTTTCTATCCACTAGGGAGCTTTGAGGGCCTAGTGGTAAGAAGCTCTGCTGCCGCCTCGAAGGCTTGAATTCACTTGCTGCTCTATGGGAGAAGATGAGTAGTCTCCTCCCTTACAATTTACTGCCTCTAAAAATCTGCTATAGGATCAGCTATGAGTCAGTTCCAATTTGCCACCATACAACAACTTGTCTATTATAATAAGTAGCAAGATCTTAGAGTTGACTTTGGAGTCATTTAGACCTGGCTTTGAATTGATAGCCAAACACAAACTGCCGAGTTATTAACTACTCCAGATTATAATAGCCTCAACACCCTCCTAAACACTTTGCATGGATGTGTCCTGTAATCCAGATTTATTCATTTTTTGATAATATGGCAGTAGAGTTTTGAAAATACGAGATTAGTGCTTCCTAATAAATGAGAAGTAAATCCACATTCTGAGAGTTAAACAAGTAATATCCGTATATAAAGGATTTAATTATTCTTCCACAGAAATAATAATTAAGGTCACAGAAGATTAAGTGCTGCCCCACAAGTAAAGGATGGAACTTGACTGACTTCTTTTGAAACTGAGTCTGAATGGTAAAGTTACTGACAGATGTAAAAGCATATTGAGGCTAACCACCAATTCCCTTTGTTATTCTTCAGAATGCAGGTAGAATTGTCCGTGCTCTTTTTGAAATTGCTCTAAGAAAACGTTGGCCTACCATGACCTACAAGCTCCTGAATCTTAGTAAAGTCATCGATAAGAGGCTGTGGGGCTGGGCTAGCCCTTTGAGACAATTTTCAGTCTTACCACCACATATTCTTACAAGATTAGAAGAAAAAAAACTTAGTGTGGATAAGCTGAAAGATATGAGGAAAGATGAAATAGGTAAGGAAATAAAATTGTTTTAATATATATCTGTGTAAATATATTTTAGTGGATAAAAAGTATTGTGAATTTTCACACTACCCAGGATACATTTCTACCACTTTAAATTTATTTTTTGTTTCTTTAAATTCAAGTAGAAGTTGTTCCAAATTCTAAGAACTTAGTTCAGTAATTTTAATAAGTTGGATATATTACAGATATAAGATTACATGAGGAATTATTTATGTTCTTATTTTATTATTTTGCATTCCATTTTAAAATCTTTTATTATATATATCTCATGAGTATTATAGTAGCAGAAATTGTGAATCTTAAACTACTTATCTAAAGTAGCTTCATTTTTGCATAAATATATCTATCTATATATCTTTAATCACAATTGGTACCAGTAGGTAACTAACATTTGTTATTCTGTTTTTTCATGTAATATTGACAAGTTCATCCTAAATTTATAATCCTATATATGTTGATGATTTGTTGATCCACTAAATATGTACTACATCAGACTGTAAGATAAACATTGCATATGAAAAGAGTCAAGCTGATGAAAAATGAAAGAGTCTGAAGCTATGAAAGGATGCTGAGGTAGTTATTACCTTTGAAGAAGAAAAATTATAGTATTGTTGGTACTGTTTCCCCTATGACACTAAAGAAGAACAGAAGTATCAATAAATAATAGAGACACTGGGAGTATTAATGATGGAAATTAAAGGTATATACATTGGGGTAACAAATATTTTATCAAATTCATGTAGGCTACTTTAGTTTTAAATATGCAAATATAAGAAAGTTTTGTATTTATTTATAAGTGCTTTTTTTTAGAAAAAGCACTTATTTGAAGAATAGAAACACATGAAACCTTGCAATTTGAAATAAAATCTATTTTCAGTCAGTTACACTGATTAAAGTGGAAAATGTTTGTAGTTAATCACACTTTTTTGTACAGTATTCATTGATACTCGTATATCTGTCTCTATTAAAAAACTTGGTCACGTATTAAAATATATATGTGGATAATATTGTGCCACATTGTCCATGTTTTATATGTTTTCTGGATATAAGGGTGAATGACTGAATTGCATTTACTTTTTGAAGGTCATAGAATGCTTAAACAGACTTCAAATGAATTAATGGCTATTTTCACAAAATGCTAAATCTTTTTTTCTACAGTTGCAAGCTAACTAGAAGAAAATGATGTCTAGTTATAATAGCTTAAACACTTTAAAGTCTCAGTAATTTTAAGAACCCTGGTAATAGCCTAGAAAACCTTGCTGCTGGTTTTCAGAGCTATGAATTGCTAATTCAAGTTAACTATTACAAAATATTCAAACATGTCAGGTCAAGAATGTCAGCTATTCTACATAGCAAATCATAAAACAAGCAATAAAATCACCTTCACTGAAATCCCATTTAAAAGTCAGATTGTATTGTTTTTCCTCTATGTGGACACAATTCTTCTATGTGATACTCCTTTTCAGGTCACATATTGCATCATGTGAATATTGGACTGAAAGTCAAACAATGTGTTCATCAAATTCCTTCTGTTATGATGGAAGCATCTATTCAGCCCATCACACGGACTGTTCTCAGAGTGACACTCAGCATCTGTCCTGATTTCACATGGAATGATCAGGTAGAAATAGCAAATACTCAAATCCATGCTATACAAAAATGTCTGTTGTACAGGTTTAGCTCCTCTGCCTTATAGCTGTTTGCAAGGCATCCATGGTATAATGCAGTAATATAGATTAACTAATTGTTGTTGTTGTTGTTTTTATGTGCATCGAGTCATTTGCCACTCAAGTGACCCTAGGTACAATAGCCCTAAACCCTGCGATATCCTGTGCCAATCGCATTGCCTCTGACACACCCATCCCGATTGCCCCAGTCACTGAATCAATCCACCTCATAGAGGGTCTTCCCCTCCTGCGCTGTCCCTCCACCCTCCCAAGCATGATGTCCCTCTCCAAAGACCTGTCTCTCCTTACAGCATGTCCACAGTATGTCAGACAAAGCCCCAGAATCCTTGCCTCCAAGTAGTAGCCTGGTTTAACCGTCTCCAGGATGAATCTGTTTGTTTTCTTGGCAGTCCAGGGTACATTCAATACTGTTCTCCAGCACCACAGCTCAAAGGCATCAATTCTCCTATCCTCCCTAGTCATTGTTCAACTCTCTGATGCATATATAACAAGCGATTGCAAAGACCATGGCCTGTGTCAGGTGCACCTTAGTCTCCAGAGAGACACCGTTGCTCTTGAGTACTTTAGAGAAGTCCCTAACAGCAGACAGATAACTAATTAGACACCCTTAATACATTTGATTTTTTTAAATGTTGTTAGGTGCCATTGATTTGGTTCTGACCCATAGTGACCTCATGTACAAGACAAAACACTGTCCAATCCTGCTCCATCCTTACCATCATCATTGCTGTGTTTTAAGTCCATTGCAGCCAGGTGCCATCATGTGGGGCCTAGGCTAGTCCCTGAAGGAGGACATCATACATGGTAAAATAGAAAGTCAGTGAAAAAGAGGAAGACCCTCAGTGAGATGGATTGAAACAGTGGCTGCAACAATGAGCTGGAACAAAGCAGTGATTCTGAGGATACCCCAGGACAGGACAGTATTTCATTTTCATGTACATTGGATTGCTATGAATTTGGATCAACTTTGAGTACTTCACAATGACAACAACAACTACTTTACGAAGCATAATATCCTTCTCTAAGGACTGATCCTTCCTGAGAATATCTCCAAAGTCCATGAGGCAGTGCATTTAGGAAACCTAAAACGTCACCACTGTTTATTCATTTGATGAATTCATTTTCATTTTGATTTTGTCATGTTCTTTTTCACTCACCTTGCTGTCAAGTCCTCTCTTATTTCATGTTTCCTCTGTTGCCTTTATTTTTACAGTCTCTTTCATATCATCTTGACCTTCCAGAAATTTAAGATTCTCTATGTTAAGAGGTGTTTTTAAATACAGTTTCCTCTAACATATATCTCTTTTATTCCTTACCATTATATTTACAAATTACGCTACATGTTCCTCCAGATCCTGGTCACTTATTTCTTTACTATTAAGACCTTGTTCTCAGTTATGACCAATGCTTGCCTGGTTAGGACAGTAAATAGAGTTTCTTCTGTTGTTTTTCTTTACTTCTGTAAGTATTTAGAACTGTTGGGAATATAATTCTTTAAAATAACATTTCTGGACTTATATAATATTCCTGTTACTGTATTTACTTCTTCTTCTGTTCCTTCTCCAGTAGAGAGAGAGAGAGTGAGAGTGTGTGTGTGTGTTTATGTATGTTTATTCAGTCTTTACCTTCAAGAAGCTACTGGGGGGAGAGAGGTACATCAGTTAAATGCAGTGTAGTACAGTAACATATATACAATGGTGAGTCTGATCATAACATTTTGATGAGATAGAGAACTGATCATTAGTGCCATCTTGTGGGACACTGTGTTGGCTCATTTTGTTGTTATTATCCTACTTGAATAGCACATTAGGAATCTCAGATTGCCTTGTGAGTAAGAATTTGTATTGCCAGCCCAAAGACAGATGGTTCGAATTCACCAGCTGCTCAAGTGAGAAAGATGGGAAGTCTCTTCTCATGTAATTTACAGCTTCTGTAAACCCACTAAAGGATCAGCTCTGAGTCAGTTCTAACCCAATGGCAATGAGTTAAGTTTACTAAATATAATTGGAATATTGCCATCTCTACAATGTAGTGACCTTTCTCTACTACACCATTAAAAAAAAGGTGATTGCGCCTGATCTGGGCTATAGTCTTTGCAATTACATGCTATACATCAGAGAGTTGGACAGTGAATAGAGTTGATAGAAAGAGAATTGATGCCTTTGAGCTGTGGTACTGAAGAAGAGTGTTGAACATACCATGGACTGCTAGGAAAACAAGCAGGTTTGTCCTGGAAAAGGTGACGCCAGAATGCTTCTTGGAGTCAAGGATTCTGAAGCTTCATTTGACATACTTTGGGTATGTTGTAAGGAGGGACTGGTCCTTGGAGAGGGACATCATGTTTGGCAGAGTGGAGGGGCAGCAAAGGAGAGGAAGACCTTCGATGAAATGGATCGATTCTGTGACTCGAGTGGTGGGGATAAGTCGTTTGAGATGGCTAGGTTGGCACAGGATAAAACTGCGTTTAGAGCTCTTGTACATAGCGTCGCTATGAGTCACAAATGATTTGATGGCACATAATAACAACAAAAACAACAGCAGTGCTTACATCACACGATTATTCTAAGATTCTAGTTAAATGGATGTAAATACCTTCTTCATTTCCTGGCATCAAACAAAAAATCAGTATGCTCTAAAATTGCCCAGTCATATTTCTAACCTATTCTGCCATTAATGTTAGAACAATAAACCACTTAACCATTCATGCCTTTAGTTTTCTCATCCATAGACTTGTATAATTGACTGTGTAAAGGCATTTGACTTGTGTGAATGACAACAAACTATGGCTAACCTTGAGGAAAATGAGAATCCCAGAACACTTGATTATACTTATGCGAAACTATACTTGGAGCAGGAAGCAGTCTCCAGAACAGAACGGGGAAACACCGCATGGTTCAAAATCAGGAAAGGATTGTCTCTGGGATGCATCCTATATTCATACATTTTCAGTCTATATGGAGAACAGATCATTTGGGAAGCAGGGCTTTAAGAGGCGGAATGTGGCATCAGAATTGGATGAAGACTCATTTACAACCTTCATTATGCAGATGACAAAACCTTGCTTGCTGAAAGTGAAGAGGACATGAAGCACTTGCTGTAGAAAGTCAAAGACTGTAGTTTTCAATGTAGACTGAAGCTTAACATCAAGAAGACAAAAATTCTCACCACTGGGCCAGTTGGCAGCACCATGATAGATAGAGAAGAGATTGAGGTTGTTAACAATTACAGCTTGCTCAGCTCCACAGTCAACACTCTCAGCACCAGCAGTTTGGAAATCAAAAGGTGAATTACACTGGGAAAATCTGCTGTGCGGATCCTCGCCAGAGTACTGAAAAGCAACAATGTCTGTCTAGATTAAGGTGCGCCTGATCCCATCCATGGTCTTCGCAATTACTTGCTGTGCATCATAGAACTGGAAAATGACTAAGGATGATAGAAGAATTGATGCCTTTGAATTGTGGTTCTGGAGAAGAATCTTGATCATACCATGGACTGCCAAGAAAACAAATAGGTCTGTCTTGGAGAGGGTAAAACCATGTCTCTCCTTGGAGACTAGGATTTTGAAGCTCCACCTCACTTACTTTGGGCACGTGGCCAGGAGGGACCATTCCTTGGAGAAGGACATCATGCTCACAACGGTGGAGATACAGCGCAGGAAAGGATGAACCTGGATGAGATGATAGATACAGTATCTGGGGCAGCGGGGGTTGTTATATCAGAATTAGTAAGACTGGTTCAAGACAGGAGAGTGTTCAGTTCAGAGCTAATGTACATAGGGTCACTATGGGTTGCAGATGACTCAACAACAATAAGACTTATATAATACTAATTCTTTTTCTCACAGAATCTTTTAAGGACATGATTATAAAAATTACATTTAAAATTTCTATAAATATAAACTTTTACAAAAATATGAAATAATAAACCCCACTGCAATTGTGTTTATTTCAATTTATAATAACACTGTAGGACACGACAGAACTACTCCATATAGTTTCCAAGACTAAATCTGTACAGGATCAGACTGTTCTGCTTTCCCTACACTTAGAAGCTGGGGGGTTCAAATCACAGATGTTGTAGATGTTATGGTTAGCAAGAACCCCAACACTTAACTTGCTTTGTTGCCAAGGTAATTCCCCTAAACTCATATTTCAGATTGTTTATATAGCAGACTATTGTGAACTACAATATGGACTGAGGCTCAATGTCAAGAAGACAAAGATTCTCACCACTGGACCAATTGGCAGCATCAGGCTGGATGGTGAAGAGATTGAGATTGCACACAGCTTTAGTTTGCTTGGCTCCATAGTCAACAGTCTTGGCACCAGCAGCAAGGAAATTACAAAGGCACATTGCCATGGGAAAGTCTGCTGTTAGGGACTTCTCCAAACTACTGAAGAGCAATGGTGTCTCTCTGGAGACTAAGGTGCGTCTGATACAGGCCATGGTCTTCGCAATCACTTGTTATGCATCAGAG